TGTTTCGTCTGTAAATTACTTAGTTTTTGATTCCATGAAAGTTGTGACTCTTATCAAGCATTTTTCCACAAAATGCATGTACTGTACTTCATGCAATTTTCTCACATGGTGTTCTTTGAAATGTATCCACCGCACAAAAAGAAGGATAGATGTATCTTCTCAGCAGTAAAAACAACTGAAAGGCAACACAACAGGCTGAACTGCAATAGCTGGCATGACTTCCAGTTTTGATACTAGTAGGTATCAATACTCTTATGGTATCAGGACATGCCTAGTAATGACAGATCCTATAAGATTATGATGGAGCCGAAAAATTCGTATATACTTGTACCTGAAATGTTTAGTTATGCTTAGACATAAAAAATTCCTACTTATTGTGTTACAATTGTTACATATAATCTATGAATAGTAGACTATACCACAAAGGTTTGTCTAGGTATACTACAGTAAGTGACTCTTGTTAAACTGACTTATTTGTCACGACACATCCTTATTAAGCAGCAATACTAGTACGTGTTTGGAACATCAGTAGTACACAGTTTTAACAAAAACTTCAATGAACTACATTTAATATATTAACACAAAATCCTCATAATCAGATCTAACTTTCATTCCATCTCTTCTCTCCTGTGTTTTCGAATTAATCTTGATTCCTAATTTTTGATGTTATTAAGACACTTTTCTGTTACATGTTAATGTTGATATATCATGTTTAATGAACTATGTAGCCAAATATATAACATTACAATGTAGCACACAATATGACTTTCAACCAAAATTCACAATGAAATAAGTAATTGTATTGGAAAAAATGCTAATCTAAACACAATGAAATAAGTAATCATTTTACTCTTAACAGATTAAAAGTTATTTTAAGTATTTCATACTAGATTTGAGACAGTACTACATTAAAATTCCTCAATTTACTTCATTTGTTTTACAACCTCCATCTAACACTATAATAAAATCATTTATAATTATTTAATCTGCAAGTGATTTGTTTTTTTATAAAGTGAAACATCAAATTGTTAAAAGTGTAAACTATATTTCAGTAGCTCACTTAATGTAAATAAATCTGTTGAGAATAAATAAATATTCTTACCTACATATCCAGGAAGTTTAGAATATCATCTTAAATTTCCTGATATAAATTTCAATTGTTGAATGAATCATTCAAAATTTGAATAATATTCTAAAATTTCTTTGCTATTTACAAATGAAAGAAATTCATCTGTTGTGTGTTGAAATATACACATCCTAAGAGAAACTAACAATTTTTTTTCATATGCAAGAACTTTAGTCAGTTATTATAACTGACTAAAGTTCAACAGGAAATAATATCTGAATATAAAAAATATTTCAATAAATTTGATAAATTCTCAAGACAAAAAATTGAGAAAATGTATTTAGAAATTTAGAATTACTTTAGAAACATTTATATTTTGTTAATAATATAATAAAGCATAGGTTTGTTCCTTTTAAAAAAACAAGATTTTAGGCTGTGTACACACTAGGCGTTTTTAAACGCGCATGTTAGCTCGGCATTCGACGAGCGTTTAGCGGAGCGTGCGCACTGGCTCGGTTTGGAAATGGATGTGGAAGTGATTGCTTGTGTGTGGCTCCTCTATTGTCGCTATAAAAGACGACGGCAGAGGCAAAGAGAATTTTGGGTGCACCCAATATTACGAGATAGACTGACGCNGAGGCAAAGAGAATTTTGGGTGCACCCAATATTACGAGATAGACTGACGCATGAAATGTTTGCGACGTTGTATCCAAAACTAAGACAAAATAAATTCAAGTTTTTTAATTCTTTTAAAATATCTATAAAATCCTTTGACGATGGTTGGTCTCTTTTAGATTTCATCAATAAATAGATAAGTATCGAAATGATCGTTCTCCATTTCAGCACACATATCTCAAAGCGCTCGGCTGACGCCCGCAAAACGCGCGATCGAACAGTAACATGGCAGCACATATATCTCAAAGCGCTCGGCTAACACCCGCAAAACGCGCGTTTTAACAAAAATCTATAAACGCACGCTTGGCCAAAAGCGTGCGTTTGAGTGTGTACGCCTACATAGAACTCTTGGTTCTTTAAAGCGCGCGTTTAACGCGCGTTGAAAAACCCCTAGTGTGTACAGGCTCTTAAAGTTGGAAAGGATCAGTCATCACAGACTGATTAAAATTTGTGGTAGCCCTGCACTACAACATATAAGAGGCCCTTTGTTTTCCATCAAAGAAGAATGGGCAGTGTATATAAACTGTCTGAGAATAGAACAAAGCCTACCATGATGTGAGGGGCTGAGCTACACCTTGTTTAGCTTACATGTTAATTCATCAAATCAAGCCAAAGAAATTTTCTGGGAATCTGTCCCAAACATGTTGGGGCAACCTGATTGGCTCTAATTTTGGGCCTAACCAAAAACTCAATGGGTATGATTAAAAGGTACATTTTTAGGGCTATTATTCAGTCAGAATGCACCATTGGCAGATAGAATATGAAGTATTGGTATCAGCTTACCAGTATTTGGTACCAGCAGTTGCTAATTAAAAACAATTCTATACGTTCAGTCACCGTATGTAGGCACCGGCAGTAATTATTTTTAGAAAAAACAAAAGCACTACATATAACTATGAATTTGATCTAACAAAACTAATGCAGTAATTGTAATGCTATAATAATAATTTTGTTTTTTAATAATTATTTCCAATTTCTGAAGACAAGTTAAATTGTATGTATGTTTTTGTAAATTTATTATGTAAATTAATGGGCAGTTCTGAGAAGTCAACTGCAGGGAGGATAGAACTAACTCCAGCAGTAGCCTACTGTTGTGAGGTGTGCACTTTTGTCATTTGCACAACTATTTAATTATGAATGTTTTTATAGTTCTTTAAAGCATTTATTTTAAGATTAAATGTAAAGAAGACCCTTTATAAGAATTTATTTGTAAGATAATGTAGTTCCTATTGTGAGAACCATGACAATGTTAATTCATCTGGTATAAGCTGCAAATTATAATTTTATTTAAGGAATCATGACATGTAGTGTTAGATTAATAAGATACAGTACAAAATTTAAATTAAAAAAATAAATTAAAAATTTTACTGAAATTATTTATAAATTCAACATGTTAAAAAGTTTATAAAATTTATATTACAAGAATCAATGATTGATTATACAATTAAGTTTAATAACTGGCTACTGCTGCATGTAAATTTACATAATAAAATTAAAGGTTCAATTGTCTTCAGAAAACTTTACTGTTGAAAAAATTCTTCTAGAGCATTTTTAATACATTTATTAATATTTAATTTCCATGAATATTTAGAATCTGTATATAATTTTAAAACTTTGTGCTATTATAATCAAAGTTCAAGGCAGTAAGAATTGTGTAAGAGTGGAGAAAACAACTGCTCGTCATCCGTGAAGTTGTCCGATTCAAGTTTACAGTTCAGTTGCTTAATTCATTCTCAAGTCACACATCAAAAATTTCCAACAACAAATAAGTAATGATTATTTTTAGAATAAAATAAAGGCAATTTTCTTTCAGTACAGCGTCTTTAAATTTTATTCTAAAAACAGTCAAAATAAACTTTAAACTGTGCAGAATACAATTTTGACTACTGTATAAACAATAGCAATAATTTAAATTACAAAATTTTCTTAATATAATTAATTTAAATATTTTCTTTTTTTCCTAAAAATAAAACAGTTCTTTATGCTTCTATTGGACTACACATTATATTCATTCTAAAATTAATCAATTTACTTTATTAAGTTTTAATGAGAAAGTGGGTGTATTTTTTTTTATATTTTACATTTGGAAAATAGCCAAAAGTACTATTATATCAATATTACAAAATTTCTATGCTGATAATTATTATAAAAATAGTAAGAATTATTCCAGATAATTTAATAATTGATTTTAAAAAATATAATTTTCAAAACAATGGTGACTTGCATTAAACTTACAAATGTCTTATGCTTCTAGTCAAAACAATTATCTTAATTCTCTTTAAAAATAAACATTCATTCACATATCTAACCAATTATCAACAGAAATCAACTTCAGAAAAAAATTAATAAAATATTTTCACGAAATTTAATTATTTTATAACATGTAACTACTCATTTGCTAATTATTAAATAATTGCAATTAAATATTTTGTAATTAAAAGCCACAACACACAGTAAACACAAGAATAATATATTGTTTAGTTATGCAATATCTTCAAATGATATAGGCCAATGCAATATAAATTTTTAAATATTCTTTGTAATAATTTCTAGTAAAACATGTCAATAAGATAATATTTGTGCACTTAAGATCAATAAATTTAACTATTGTTTAATAAGGTAAACGAAAAAAATTCAATAGAATATAAATGAATCGGTTGTTCTTAGTACCAAATTTCTCATTAGAAAAAAATAATTTATCATATATAAATGAAAAATTGTGTAAACAAACAAATTTTTATTTCAAAGTTTTTCCCATGCAAAATTTTAAAAAGCTGAAGAAATTGTTTTTCTAATATGAAGTACAAGAACTAAATAATACAGAAAAATGTAAATAATATAAGTACAATTTCATTTTTAAAGTCTGAAATATACAAAAATTGCACAAATAACAATTATCTTCATGATCAATAGCCTGTATACAAAGTTAATGATATAACCTTATCTAATTTATAATCATTTCTTCTTTTCTACCTGAAAATTGAAGAAAAATTGGCATTTTCTTCGCACAAAATTGGACAATTCTTATATAGAAAATTACACTTTAAAAGCTTGACAGGATTCATAGCATTAATTCTGATTAAGTAAAACACAATTAGAATTTGTATGTGAAATTACATGTGTAACATAAGCTGTTGTTTATATATGAATTAAAGAATTACTGAAAATAATTGTGCACGTATATGTTTTATGTAGATATAAAGACATTGAAGTGTATTTATATTAAAAATATATATTAATAATGAATAAATTAACTTACAAAGTACAGCAACAGCTTCAGATTCAAACAGCAATGTTTCATTTCTGTTTCTCTGTTCCAATATCACGCTGTAAGCTAGAGGATTCTGTGGATTTATTTTATGATAAATGCGAAAACTTTTACCAAGAGCCATAATTATTTTCCTACGAAGAATGCATTTTTCTTTTAATTATTACTACTTTTTCCTTCTCCTTTTAATTCCTTCATTTATAAGTAACGTTGCCCCCCACTCGACTCGATACTCGATAAATTACTAAACTAATATTGATAATAGGCTCACTTCTCCTTCGATTAATTCGACTTTTTGCCGGGTTAAACTCAACACTTTATCACAGCTGATGGCACCTTTTAACTTCATCCTTCAAGGCACATAAAGCGCCACCTGAATTCTCATTATTCGATTCGAAAAAAAATCGAATTAAAAATACTTTAAATTAAACTATTCATAAATTAATTTATAAATAACTCTTTTTTTATTAATATTATTATAAAATTAAAATTTTAAGTATTCTGTCATTTCGTAATTTTAATATAATACCAGCGGATGACAAAGTAGTTTCTTTCTTTGCCCTACGCGGGCTTTGTTTGTACGGGGTAGATGGCCGTCTTCGACCCGTATTTGCATCTTCTTTCTTCGCCCTACGAGGGGTTTATTCGAACGGCCTTTTTCTGACAGATAAAGGCCGTTCGAATTAATACTCCGTATATTAATACTGGTAGCTTCTAAATTTAGCATTATTGGAGTGACTACAATAATGTTAAGCGAAATGTTTGCTAGTAAAATTGCTGCTTTTCATTATGTGTAAAGAAATCGTTCGGTTTGAGAGCATAACTTACAGCTTTCTTGTATTTTTTTTCGGTTTACTACGATGGCTGCGCTTGTTGAACCTAATCGAGCATTAAAATACTTTTGAATTTTTTAAATGTTACTATTTTTTTCCAAGGAACACTGACAAAAGAGTACTTTTACATCTATTACATCTATTAACTTTAACAGTGCGCTACAAACAGTGCGTCGAACAGTGCGCTTAAAGTCAACTGTGTTGTTTCGCTACTGCTGTAGAAGAAGATTTAAAAATTGTTAAAATTAATCGTAATCGTTATTGTAAACCGCGCTTAAGTTAAGCGTCATCTGTTCCTTTTTATATGTCCGACCATCGAAAGACCGCTCGGGTACGAGTCTGTTTATAATTTGAAAGATAATCTTGTCAGTTGTATATACAAAAGGTAAATTGTTTACAAACTGAGTCTTTGTTTATTATGTTATAAATGTATACTTTTATTTCGTCAATTGTTCACGATAGCAGATGCTTTTTGTGTAAGATCCAAGTCGGATGTACAGTACAGTATGTAAGCTAATAAATATTCTCCTTAATCTTAATTTCGCCTTTTGATTCGTTCACGGTTACTAGAAATCACCATAAAAATCCTTTTCCGTATAAAATATTTTAAGAATTGATTTATTCGAACTCTTCGTCTTAATTTTCGATTTTATGTTCGAATTTATATTTATAAATGATCAGTGGCGTACCGTGGGTGTAAGCCGCCCGGGGCGGAGGAAAATTTCGGCCCCTCTTATTTAGATATTTCAATTTAAAAGACCAAAATTCAGTTTTGTCACAAAACAAGCAATGAAAAATTCGGTGGTAGTGCAGCGACCTGTTTAAAATAGTTCTATTGGATATTTCTTTTATTCTTTCCGCCCTGTGGGCACTAAGAGGAAAGAGCCTCTTTTTGCAAGCTCATTATGGGTTCGGCCAGGCCCACAATAGGGCTGCCGGGTGGTGAGGGATGGGGCCCGACATATCCGAACGGACCACCCCCCGAAAAATTCCAGAGGACTTTTCGACCCGTTCGGATTCGAACCCGGGTCCCCCAGAGCGGTAGGCTGCCACCTTGACTGCTCGGCCATCCGGCCGCAAAAAATCGTGTATTGTATCTCGAATAGACTCGGACTTAATGATGATTTTACTCGTTATTAGCATTTACAATTTTTTAATAAAACTCATCCCTACTCTGAAAATTAAGCTTTTTGCCATTTTATAATAATTAAAAATATAAAAAGTTTTTAAAATAAAATATCCTAACAGATGGCACAAACACGTAGTTTTAAATGTTGGCCGAAAAGTTAAGCAACTCGTTGCTGGATTTTTGACAAGACTATGTCTTGTTTATAAAATCTTACTTCTGTTTCATGTTACCAGCATAGAGGTATGAAGGTGTGAAATTCGAAGTTAATAAAAGCATTTAATCCTTTAAAAGTTTAATAAATTTAAAATAAAAATGCCCTCAACCAAAGGAATTTGACCCTACAAAAACGAAATCTAAAGTACATGCGAGAATTATAACTCTTTTTGTTTTAATATAAACATTCTCACGATCAAACCGTATATAGTTTACAGTTATCGGCGAAATTCGTCATATAGTTGTCATTCTAACACCACCTTTAACCCCACACCTGCTAAAACAATTGATCACCTGACGAATTTTCCCACCAAAAAGGTATAAAAGCCATCCTCCTTCCCCCTCTCCGGGGAGTCGCTGATCAAGAAGTCGCCATCGCACCATCAAGACGGACATTCGCTTCCCTCTAACCGGCCGCACCACATATTAGAAGACCTTCGATCCCAGCCCTCAACTTGGATCCCGCCTTACAGAAATTAAAGGCCTTCGCTATCATCGCAAGAGGTATGAACGCTTTATTGTAAGCTCTCTCTCTCATACGCGAATGAGACGGACCGTGTTAGAACGTTTGTTTTATTATTTGTCTGTAATAAATTGTTAGTTTAGAAAATGGTGTCTTTATTCGACTATGCCAACGCCTTATCGTCGACCCCTCCGACTCTCCTCCACTCGCGTAACGCGTAACCGAACGTTACTACCATCCCTGACAAGAAAGTAGGTCACCGACCAGAGACCGGAAGGAGAGGACTCATTTTCCCTTCCGGTGGCTCACAAATTGGGGTCACGGAAGTGGGGTTTGAATCTAGAAATCCCTAGAAATATCACAAAGGAGTACATGACGAGAGTTGATATTTGGCAAAGAGTATTAGGTGCCCAAATCATTTGCGCATAAAAAAATCCAGACTCGTAGGTAGTCAGGGGACCGAGAACCGAGTCAAAATAAAATACAAAATGACGCCCCTTTTCTACAAACAGGCAAAACAGGCAACTCACCCCACCGAAGTCAAATGGGGGAGAGTACCACCCACAGTCATTCTAAGAAGTGAACTCTGACCTTAGGACCGAACACGTAGTTTCTTCTATGTTAAAATTTGTAATCTAATTTTGTAAATTTGGGAGTGCTTCAAATATGACGTTTAAACGGTTTTATGTCGTTACAAGTGGGGGTTTTTTAACATTTAGTAAAATCGTGGAACCGATAAAAATTTGACGTTATATTAGGGTTGTCGTTATATCCGATGATGTTATAATCTGGTTAAACTGTATATTGTTTGTACAAAATAAAAAAATAATTTCGGACAATACATTAGCCACGATTATTTTTTTCAGAAACGGGAAATTTTCGTTATGCATAGACAAAAATTCAACCCGGGTCGACACGCAACGGAGAGAAATTTCGAAATTGGATATTAATTTCATCGAAAATGATTCGTGAATGACCTCGTGATCGTGACCGGCGAAGTTTGAACGATCGCGCCCAAAAGCAGCGATACCAAAGAAGATTGGAGAATGAGAACGAGACTCGCCTTGATCGTCAAAGTGATTCCGCTTAGTAGTGAGTCTCCAAGACATAGTCTTGTCCCAAATACGACTTTGCCGTTTTACTTGTTAAAAATAAATTTGGGGGATAAAATAACACTAATTTGATATTTTGAGGAATCTAAAGTGAGAAATTTACTACTAAGACAAGCGTGTCGTCAAAAATTGCCGGTGGTTCTAATGGAATATGAAACATGTTATGTAAATTACAAAATAACGTTTTACTCTTCAAAAATAAAAAAAAAAAAGAAAAAATCCCTTCAATTGCCTATAACACATCTAATTGTTACTCCTTGGATGCAATGTGGCAGGTATATGTAAAGCATTGTCAATGTTCACATGAAATCATAATGACAATGAAAAGTCAATCTTCTACGCCTAAGATGACATTCAATCATTATAGTGCTCATGTGATTGCAAATTCCCATGATGTTGTGGGGATTGTGGCAAAAAGTTTTATCAACACAAACATGTTCAGAAACATGTCTAGATCGAATGTTTTCACCAAGTTTCGACCAATGTGCATCTTGCACATTGATCGAATAACAATTTTACTAATCCAGTTCATCTACCGAAATATTTTGGAAATATTTTGCCTTCAAGAAGCTCGGGACAAGGCAGGTTTTCGTTTGTTTGATAATTTTAAATAATTTTATGTTGGTTAGATATTTACTAGATTAAGAAAAAAATTTAAATTTCAACTCTTGACAAAAATGTATTTAGTGTGATACTGAAACTATTCGATTTACAAATATTATGTCTCGTTGAAGTGATCAATCTACTGCGATGAAGTCACGTGTATTTTTGTTTTCCTTATCCACTCTGTGGGAAAACAGGGTAGACATTTAGCAAACATATTTTTAAACCTACAAATAATAAATCTAATAAATTTGTCGTGTTATGATTTATTCCCATATTTTAATAGTTATACAATGGAAAGTGCGGAAGACTGGATACAATATATGAAAATTGTTAAAAACCAATAAAAGCAAAGATTTTTGCCGATAGCCGGCCTTTACTGAAAATTGTTAGTTCAAGTGTCTTGGTGGAACCTCCGTCCCAATTGATCCCTTATTAAAGCCTTGCTTTCATTAGATACTTGGCCCAATCGCGATACCTATGATTAGAATGGCCCCTAATGGGAACTGGACAGAAAGACAATATCAAAACAAAATAAGATAACAGTTTATAAATAATATATTTTATTTTTTATTTCCTGTTTTAAAAGTAAAGCATTAATTCAAAATAAAAATTTTGATTATTGTTTTTATTCTCTTTGTCTTTGTTACTTGTAGTTTTATCTTTTTCTTCGGAAACAAGATAATAACGGCTGTTTTTTATCACTCTTATGTTCTTATCTTCAAGAATATGATTCTCTTTAATCCGAGCGATAATTTGATATGTTTTATATTTATCTAAATGTATACAAAATGAGTCTATTGAACGTCCTTCGCCATCACAAAGAACTTTTTGACTAAATGAGTGTCTTGAAAATACATTCACAACATCCAGAAAAACTGAAATACTTCCGTGTCTGTCTTGTCTTATTGGAAGAATAATGTTAGTAACAAAGCAATTATGTTTCGCAATTATTTCACACAAAAATCGGGTGTTACTTATTACAGGAATATCTTT